GACGGACACACATACACACACACACACACATACAGACACACTAACTGCAAAGACTCCCATTTTGTGCTTCGCACATGGGAGTCAAACACCACCTTATTATGTAGCATCTACAATGTTTAATTTCAACCACAGTCCCTTAACACGGTGTTGAGGGACTGTGTTTCAACCAATCAAAACACTCCCACCACTCCCATTAAGACATGCAGCCTTTTCTGCACCTGTCTTTACTGTGTTTTACAGTGCTCCCAGTTTAAGCAACCTTTACACTAAGGACTCCAGTATATCAGTGGATATACTTTATTGATGTAATAAACTACTCAACATGTTTATTGCATACAATTCTGATGATTGATTTGTTTGCTTAGTCTGGCATTTCGTACTTATTTCGAATACAGCCCAGTAACAAATCATAATGCCACAACGAAATTGGAAAAAATAATGCAGGTTTATTCTGTGAAAGAAGATAAAATTAGACAATGACGTCCTATCAGATTAAACTGGACCCAAATGTACATACTTGATAACAACAAAGTAATATAAAGTGTATAATATAATAGACACACATGAGTTAAAAACAGGAAGGACATTACAAAAAAAAATATGTAATTTCATTAATTTTCACAAATTTAACATTTTTTATGTTACAAGGACAACATGAAATAGGAGGCATTTTATCTTTGTTAATCCCATGCTGCCAGTACTGAGAAATAGCATATAACAATAATATAATAAGTGAATTATTATTACGCAGGTTTATTGATGTTCCATCACTGGACGTTTATTTTTGTTTAAATACGATCCGAGTTTCTTCATGCATTTACATAATATGGAATCATTCAAATGTTATTCCCATTCATTATGTTACAATATATGATAATTTTTATTTTAATATAATGATTATTAAAGATGATTGGGTTTAAAGTGAATGTGAGTCATAGTGTAAACTATGTGGTACTATTGCTGGGCGAAATGTACTTGGTACCTAAGTTGTCGGATTTAATAGCCAACTTCAACAAAATAAACATGCTATTATCAGTATAAGTTAAGCTGAGCGTTTATTTAAACTACTGTAGAATACTTTATTTTCACTTGGAATTTATTTTCGTTATTTTCGCTGAAGTGATGATTCCATGAAAATAAAATCCAGTGAATATACTTTTTTTCCTATATTTCACATTAAACTCATCAAAAATCAGTAATAATAATTTCCATACAAAATGCCCAAAAAGCCTTTTCAGCGAAAATTAATTCCAGCAAAAATAAAGTATTCCACAGTATAAACAGGTATGAAACAGGCTATATATGTACTGTTTTTGGTCCACATTAGGAATCTTGAAAACTTTTTTTCAACTTTTTTTTCCAAACCTGATCACCCTCCCTCCCAAAATGAAAGGAAGTGTTTAAAATTGACTGATGATTAATTATAGACAGAGTTTGACACATATGTGCTATTAAACATAAGAGCACATGTCAAAAATGTTTGAGAGCAAGGTAACTGGCCGTAAATTAAAAAACACTATTTAAGAATAAGAAATATTGAAATCAAAGTAAAAAACAGTTACAGTAGTACTCACTATCTTTTGACGTCTTTATCACCTGATACACCGGGTCTCTTCGCTCGCACTGGATTGAATATTGTGTTCTCATGTGTATATTTGTTAAAAATAGATATAATATGCTGTGAAAGATAAACATTTCATAAAATTATAGTAGTTGCCATGGGAACCAACATATACACACTTTCCATTCCAAAATAATATTCGTTTTGACATAACACAAAAATGCTGTTTTCCATGTAGGAATAACAAAGATGCAGTTTTTCATGAATAAATAGAAAAAACTCACCTGGTCAAGAACCTCAGCATAAAGACTTCTATTATTATTCAACCATTTCAGAACTTTTGGCTTGAACGTATTTGATATAACAACTTTTCCAGAACTCCAAGTAATATTATAAATATCAACAAACTTGTTATAAACATATCTGTTTGAAAAAAGGTTATCAAAATAGGTGAACTGTGCCATGAGAAATTAGCTACCAATGTTATATACTAGTATTGTATAGTCATTTAATTTCACCATTTTGATGTTCTGAGCATATTCACTGTGTTTTAATTTCACTAATTTGTCAAAGAAACAATGAGTTTTATTGTTATTTTACATGTTCACATAGATTTAATTTAGCAGGTTTTACTTATCAGAAAAAATAGCGAAATTTAAAGCCCAGTGAATACTGTAATTAATGCATTTATAGTACAAATGTATATATAAAAAAAAATAATACATGGTCGAATCAAATTTAAAGCGCACGCGCAGGAATTGAGTCCCAAGCAACGATAACAACACACTCTAAAAATGCAAAGGTTCATGGGTAGATGCTTGTTTGTAAACAATGACACGCTATGGCCATCTGACGCATGCACAGGTGACGACTCCCCCACTTTAATATTGCAGACTTTTATACACGACAATAATCCTGGCTGTAAATAATTTGCATACAGAGATCTCCTACAGGGTGCCTAGCATTGCTGGGAATTCAGGGTAATCTACCCCATAAAAATTTATATTCTGTTATTTTTTTAATCCTATATTTTATGCCACGGGGGATTTATTATTGTTGTTATAAATCAACACCATCAAAATTAAACAAATCTAGTTAAATTTAGTGGTTATTTACAATAGCGAATAAAATTTTGCAATTTTTCTAAATAACTACATGGTAATAAAACAATATTCCCTACCACTTGTACATCCATTATTCAAGCATCATTGTAGAAAATTATCATACACCACCAATTAACAACATTTATCTTAACTTAGTAACTTTTAGCGAATATCTGAATCACAGATCAATTATTGTAAAACATGTTTTTTTAGCGAGCACGTTAAGATGTCACTAATTAGAATAGAGTATATTGTCACAATCAGATTATTGGCACTTTTGCTAAATTAAGATTTAGTTAATTCATGCATTGAGTCAAATTTGTTAAAATCTAAATATCTTTAACCCTCAAACATATTAAAATACAATAAAAACAAAATTTACATTTTTTACTTACATACAGTCTTTATTAGTAGATAACTGCCATCTCTTCATCATCACATGTAAGTACTCAATTGATAAAACTTCATCTAGTTTAAAATGTAAACAATTTTGTTTATACCACTCCTGTTAAAAATAGATAAATATAAACTATTTAAAAACTATATGAAATAAAATAAAGAAAAAAAAACTATTTATACATATAAACTATACACTTGAAATAGAAATGAATGCCACAGCATCTCATGCAAGTTTAGTTAATTGCAAAAATCAATTACTGTATTGGCTCAATTAGAAAAGAATCTCTAATAGAAGTGCATAAAAACAAAACATGCAATTGTTATTGTGTGTACTGAATCAGTAAAATATTGCTTATTTTGACCATAGAAACATGCATGAACATGTAGCCATGGGAGCCTCCCCCCTCAAAAGAAAAATACAACCATAATGAATTGGTAGACAAAATAAATACAAACTAAATATGCCTTTCATAAATTATTTTCTTTGTTTTAATATCAAATAAAAAATAAATTGATTGGATGAAAAAATTAAAAAGCTAAAAAACAGTGGTCTGTCAGCTGCAAACTGTATTTTTTTTTCAATATGATGATCATAAATGGAACAGCACATATACAATAAACAGTTTAATTTCCCTTGCCAGGAAATGTAATATTTTGATGATTCAATGGTGTTTGCAGGGAGAAATTCTCTCAAAAATCATTTTAACACCACATCTATAGGAGATTTCAAGGTTTTCACTGATTTAGCAAATATTTGTCACATGAAATATACACCAATATATAGTACAAATAGTTTATTAATGACACAAAACAAAAGTAATGTAAATGTTTATTTACATTACTTTATTTTATTCGGCAAAACACACTTTGGAAACCATAGAAACAACACTAACATGTACACAGTAATTGAATACCTTTCACAATGCATGAGCTCACAGTGTGCCCCCCCCCCCCCCCAAAGGACAGCACCATGACTTCATAAAATTAGAAATGAAAAAATACTGGTAAATTGGAAATCAAAGAATCAGCTTTACTCATAATATGTAAAATAGCACCATACAATTGATAAAGCTACAAATAAAGCAAATAAGATAAAATACAAATTAACCTTTTCACCACCAGTTCCCTCTTTTCATCACGAATTCACAAAATTGCCCCGTTTATAGTCTGCACTTTTCTTTCAGAAGATTGGGACAAAAATATCCAAATTTTCCAAGTAAAAACTGAAAATTCCCAAAAAATTCCCAGAAAAATTGAAGAAAATATGAAATCAAAGAAAGCTTAGAAAGAACTCCTGTGTGCTGAGAGTATATGGAGACACATTAAAATTGATTGAAAATATAAGATTTGCCTTTTTATACAAGAAGCTTGGCAACTAATATTTTTAGATGTATTTTTCAGTACAATTAATTCCAGAGCACCTCTGTGATGAATTCAATTTAAATCTGATTTTTCTAGATATCAGAAATAGGCTAATACATATAATCAATATGCATGTTTTCAACATTAAACTAATCATGTGTGGAGATTACACCCAAATGAACCAAATGAAATATTATACAAATTAAGCAATTACTAAGCATAGATTTAGGTCTGTATATTGTTTCAGGTTGCACATGTAAAAAATTTCACTATAATGTGATGATTAATACAGACTAAATTAGCGAAAAGCTGAAAAGTTACTTATTACTCAAATTGGATAATTATTATCAATTAAGGGAAACTATGCCAGAAGTGAACAGTCCTTAGGCCTTCGCTGAAATGCCTTTAGAGTTTGTTGACTGTTGACAGTCTAATGTCAGACATATGGATCCAGAAGTTGATGCTTGATTAGGATCATCTTGTATTTGATCGTCAAACAAGTTGCAAATTGCGGACACAAATTGCCCAAAATATAACAATTTTTGCCAATAATAATTTGTATTAGTACATGTTCCAAGTTTCTCTGTTTTGATCAATTAGTCATACACATGCAATCACCATGAACTGTGCTCACATAAGTGTGATCTTGATTCAGTTATATATTTATTCAGTTTCAGGGCAGAATAACAGGTCTTCTAGTACATTCCAATCAGCAAAGAAATTACCTAGTTAAAGCTTCGTAACGTCTCAGGTTGTACTCATTGTTCTGTGCAACAAAATCGCCATCTTTGCTCATACGAGAAACATATTTTGCGCATGCGTGGCGCGACGACCACCGCCCTTTAAGGACACTAAATGCATCACAGAGACTGAAGATCAACACAAGATATGAGAGTTATGGACAGACAGCTTTGAACTTTATACTCACACGTGTGTGGGTCACAGACGACGAAATAATTTTCATTTTTTTTGGACCGACACTCAACGACTGTAGCGTGCGCGTAGTATTACATGTAGCTAATACCAATTGAAGAAGGCAACAGCAAACCACAATTACAATCACAATCAATAACAATAAAACAGTTCTCCTGTGTTTGAGTACTATCATCATGTTTCCGTGTCCGCTTTCTCATGTACTGCTACGACCGTACTACTATGACATCGCATACTACGATGAATGTAAAACGTGTCGTTGATAGTTACAGTCTAACTTGTTTAGAACATTGTGAAATGGAGCTTTCTGTGTAGCACATCCTCATGTGTACACACATGCAGTTTTAGCTCCATAAATCATGAACAATGGCGTCATTCCGATCACAATGTAGGTCAAATCCTGAGGCGCCCTCTCTCGTCGTTGATTTTCACTTTAAAAGACATGTGAGCTCGCTGAAAACAACGTTTTTATGTCTTTACTAATAAATAGTACGTTGCAAGTACGTTTTTTAAATTTGTTAACTAATTATATAACTCGTGCATGCATTGCAAATACAGCGTTTTTTTTAATTTTTTTACTAATTAATAAGTCGTGCATTACAACTATTTTTTTTTATTTACTGATAACTTCGACCTTGCTAGTAACTGAACGTGTGTTTATATTTATTCGGTGATAAGTCATATGGTGCAAGTACGGCGTTTTTATATTTCGTTACTTATAACTCGTACGTTGCAAGTATGGCATTTTATATATTTGTACTAATAAGCTCGTATGGTGCAAGTACGGCGTTTTTTTTGTTTTTGTATATATTTACTAATGACTTGTATGTTGAAAGTACGGCGTTTTTATATTAATATCAGTAACTCGCGCGTTGCAAGTACGTTGTTTTTTATATTCTTGACTAATAACTCGCACGTTTCGGGTACGGCGTTTTCATATTTATTTATCAATAACTCACACATTGCAAGTACGTTTTTTATATTCTTAACTCATAGTATATATACTTACATGTGTGTGGGTCACATGCGACGAAATAATATTTGTTTTCGGAACTGCACTCCAGGACTTTAGCTTACTAGTAGTGTTATACGTAGTACTACATGTAACCATTATCATTTGCAAGAAGAAGCAAACCACAATCACAGTCAATAAAAATAAAACCGTTCTCCTGTGTTTGAGTCTGTCAATAACCGATGTCATTGTCGTGGATTAGATCTCCCGGGTTAGATCTCCGGTTCCAATGTTTTTTGTTACGATGGCGCTGTGACGACACATACAACTACATACATGTATATACAAAAAATATCTTATCATATCCTACAACTACGATGCCTGTAAAACATGTCCATGATAGATACAATCCCACTTGTTTAGAACGCTTTGAACTGCAGCCCTCTATGTAGCACAGTCCCCTCAGATGGCATAATCACCAATCAGACAATTCCGTGAACTTTGACCAAACCCTGGAGCGCCCTCTCGTGTTTTAGTGGTGTTTTTAGACTGAAAATTTAACATATTTTTGTATAAAGTGTTTTCCATTCAAATTTGTAAAATTTGCAGAAGGTAATGGAATTAATGTCATCCTTAACTTCAGTTGCATTAAAATTTCCACAGATGCTTTGTTAAGAGAGTATTTGTGTTTTTTTCCCATGAGCTATGGCAGAAGGGGAATTGATATGCACGTGTGTATCTATGTAGCAGTGCACGTTTTAAAAGAAAATGATTCAAAAAATGCATTTAAAATGTTTACAATTATTTGTAAACAATTACATTGTTTGATCTGAAAGCACAATATTTGATTTAAAAGCACAATGTTTGAATTGAAAGCACGCCGTTTGAATAAAACGCATGGTGTTTGAATTGAAAGCACACTGTTTGATTTGAAAGCACAATGTTTGAATTGAAAACACTGTTTGAATTAAAAGCATACTGTTTGATTTGAAAGCACAATGTTTGAATTGAAAGCACGATGTTCGACGTTTCAACCAAAAACAGAGGACTATAACATTGTTTTTCAAGGTGCTAATTTATAAAACACTAAAGAAAACACTTTTCTTAACAAACTGTTTATTTTGAAACACTCTTGAAAACAAACATGCAATGCAGCCTACAACACCCAATTGTTTACATATATTTATATATTTGTAAGACATGTGCACAGGTTCATAAGAGCATGGAACTATAAACCACACTTATAGTTCCATTATAAGAGTAACTAAAAACACTTTCTCGGATAAACTGTCTTATTTTGAATCACTTCAGAGAACAAACACACACGCAATGTTTCAACCACAGTCCCTCTATTACAGTGAAAACATGCAAGTTGGACCATTCCATAGCTGATTTGGGGGGGGTACTCGGCATGACAGGAGACGTTTTTTTTCCTCTTGTTGTCACATTATAATTTTTCTCAATTCCAAAACTGAAACTTCGCTATTTTAATGCGATTGTCACCAAACCTCAATAAACACGGCGTGCTTTCAATTCAAACATTGTGCTTTCAAATCAAATATTGTGCCTTTTCAAAACGTTGGATGCTGGTGATTATCTGATGGGAAGTCTGTTTGAAGATTTACAAACGAGCTATTTTTCAAAACTCTATAATAAAACAAACATTAAAAATCATGCGTTACAAAATAATCTTATAGAAAAAGAAATGCGACAAATTCCCAACCAATATCTAAACTCAAATATCACATATGAAGAAATTCTTAGCGCTGTTAGCAAACTAAAAAACAATAAATCAGCTGCTGATGACAGCATTGCCAATGAAATGTTGAAAACCAAAAATAAGTTAATGATAAGATGTTTACAGAAACTTTTCAACTGTATTCTAGATAGTGGAAAATTTCCTGCAACCTGGAAATCTACGATTCTTGTTCCACTACACAAATCAAGCGACAAATTAAATCTTGGTAATTATAGAGCTATTGCATTAACAAGTTGTCTCTCAAAACTATTTACTGGCATAATGAATCAAAGATTGACCACATACTTGGAAAAAAAAAATTATTTACCGACATGCAGTTTGGCTTTAGGAAAGACAGGAGAACGACAGACGCAATTTTCCTGTTAAAAACAGCAGTTGAAAAAACAATTTATAATAAAAATAAAAGCAGGAGTTCTGGAAAACGGTTATACACATGTTTTGTTGACTTTAAGAAAAGCTTTTGAC